GCTAATTTCCTTTTTCAATGCTAGAAAATATTCCTTGAATCATGATAATTTATAATAATTTACATCATTGTGTAGGGTGCATTTGATTAAGTCATGCTGCTTACAAAATACATCACCCAAATCCACTTTTCCACATATATTTTGTTTGGATGGGATTGTATTTTCATTCCTTGAAACCAATGTTTGCAGCATTATAGCACTACAGCAAACAATACAAATGTAACACAGCATATGTGGTTGTCGCACGATTGCAAACAAAAATGGAACATTTAACAAACAACAGTGAAATAATATTCCTGCTACATGCATGTGATACACAAATAATAATTCAGTTGTCACTATTAAATGCAATAAAATAAATAGGGATACTAAATACAAGATGAATAAATTGTTAATTACTATTGTCATGCATTGTGTAGATGAGGCTTAGAGCCTGATAACTTACAAAAATATCCTGTCATGTGATTGAAAAGAAGTATCAAGATAAAAACATTACATATGGCAACTGTTTTATTTGAAACAAGGAAATAACACAACACTCAAATCTAAGCATAAATAGAGGGCAAGACGAATAAAGAAGACAAGTTAAAAATGATTTTATAATAACATTATTAAAAGTAATGTTATCAAACTTATGTCAATTATAAATATTGAACTACGGTAACCAGCCTTTGTTTCATCATTGTGAAATTAAAAAAATAAATACTGTATTTGCTCTATCAATAAGCGCATAAATTAAAATTTTTTTTAGATACAACAAAAATTTCATATAATTGTGAAAATAACATACCTGTTCTATTGGAATGTATTCACCGTGCTGTTCACAACCAATATCAAAGATATATTTACCAACACCTTGAGGCTAAAAATGAGAAATTAATAATGATATAAATGTTGCTACAAGCAATAATTCTGACATCAAGTCAAACAGTCTGCAATAACATCAATGTATTAGGGTTGCTCAATACACTCCCTAAAAGTGGTTTGCTTCAAAAACGACACTATTAAAGGAGAACACATTCTATCACCCATGTGTTAGCATAGGACAAATTACAGAAACTATCTTTACCAATAGATCCATACTACAAATGTACCTCCAGACACATTGTTTCATTCTACACGTATTGAAGTTTTGAAAAATAGCAAAGATTTTTTTTTTTAATCTAACCATTCCTTTTTTACTTTTACATTATAGAGTCAAGATTGTGTGTTAAACTCTGTACATTAATTCACATACAATAATACTATATTTATTTCAAAAATTTAGGTTTGTACATATGACTTTGTATAGCAACAAGCAAATTATTCACAAAATATAAAAATATTCACAAGGACATTCACGATACATTCAAACTGTATTGGACCACCTTAATAATGGTGACTCGACACAAATGATCACATTGATTACAATGGGAAACCCAATATTACATATACCGGTACCATTATATTATTATTATATTACATATCCCAAATGTTTGCAGTTGGACAAAACTGATCATACACAGGTGGGAGGGGGGTTGGGTTATTTTTTAACTGTGTGAATGCAGAATTTAGTACATGTAGAAAAATGGTAACATTTTTGCTATCACTCTCATTATCACGCTTCAAGGAAATACCATACAATAAATATCATATTCAATATGCATAATCAGTCAATCAGTAAATTTGTAATATTATTATTACAATCAACCTCAGTTAGTGACCACCTCTATACAAAAATCACTTGTTTATAGTGATCACTTTTAGACAGTCCCAAGGCATAACATATGAGTCATCTGTGTATAACCTGTTTAATGTGACAATCAACCTCAGTTAGTGACCACCTCTATACAAAAATCACTTGCTTATAGTGATCACTTTTAGACAGTCCCAAGGCATAACATATGAGTCATCTGTGTATAACCTGTTTAATGTGACAATCAACCTCAGTTAGTGACCACCTCTATACTAAAATCACTTGCTTATAGTGATCACTTTTAGACAGTCCCAAGGCATAACATATGAGTCATCTGTGTATAACCTGTTTAATGTGACAATCAACCTCAGTTAGTGACCACATGTATACAAAAATCACTTGCTTATAGTGATCACTTTTAGACAGTCCCAAGGCATAACATATGAGTCATCTGTGTATAACCTGTTTAATGTGACAATCAACCTCAGTTAGTGACCACCTCTATACAAAAATCACTTGCTTATAGTGATCACTTTTAGACAGTCCCAAGGCATACATATGAGTCATCTGTGTATAACCTGTTTAATGTGACAATCTTTTCACCAACATTTATGCACATTTACTTTTGTTTAGCGACCAAGGTAATAATTAACATTCTGTTTGGATTTTGATCAACTTAAAGAAATGTGTATCATCTCATCATTTTCTGGACAAATATTATGTGAAATAGACATAAAAAAGTAATCCAAGTTTCATATAAAGACCACCTATCCATAAAGATCATAAAGAAGTCACTTGGGTGATCACTGTATACAGGTTTGACTGTCAAAACAAAAGCAATTTAAAACATACAAAACTGAACTTACATTATCTGATGTGAAATTGCCTTGAAATTTATGATTAAGATGAATAATTTCGCCTGCACCTTCTCGTCTACCGTTCACAAATGTACCAACGTATTTTGTTCCAGTTTCTTTATATGTGTAAACACCTTGGCCGTGTTTTTGATGATTTTGCCATTCACCTTCATACGTATCTGCATTGACATATGTATACACGCCATAGCCATGCCGCTGATCATCTACCCAACTACCTGTTATAATAAATAATAGCAATAATTTGTTACATAAATCCTGCTTCTCTGACTCCATAAATGTTGTCATGTGAAAATTGACTCAAATTTTTTCTGTCAGCTTTAAAATTAGGGTTCATTTCCAGAAATATTGAAGAATATAAAAAAACGTGTGGAAACATTTTATCGAGAAAGTCTGGTGGTGATATTCAGCAAACTAGCTCAAACAAAACTATGTTAATGAAAAAAAAATATGACCCAACCTACACGTTTTTGAGACCACACATTTTTTTTCTTTGGCCTTAGATTTTTTTTTATGTAATTCAACAAGTTATCTGGAAACTGGAACATGATTTAGATGTTTATATCAATTTCCTTCTGATCAGTTTTTCTGTGATATGTTTCTATGTTTCACATATCCATTGACATCTTCATTCTATGTTGAGTTCAATACTCAATTCAACTATTTTTTGTTATCAAACAACTCCAAAAATAATTATTTCTTGATGGTGCAATTTATGGAAGTGTTAGATTTTTTTATTGTGGATTTATACCCTCTACTACCCTCAAACAATACATATAATTGTGTCTAGAATACTATATTTATTCAGCTGGAAATGCACATGCAATAGAGGTAGGTACATTAAACCCAAACATATTTGTCACGGTAGCAGTACACAAAGCCTGCACTGTGGTTTGGAATTTAATATGAATTTTATAACAGAGGATGTGTTAATGCAAAAACATGCACCTCTATTATAAAATCTGGCTATTCTAAGGGTCCATTTCAAAGGTTACTACTACAATCCTTCAGGCCAAGAATTGTCAGACACATTCATTATGGTGACTTGTCAGAACTCACCTTCATACTTTGATCCATCTGGATAAATAAATGTGCCTTGGCCTTGTTTTTTATTTGCTCTATATTCACCTATATACCTTGCACCATTTTTAAACCTGTACACACCCTGCAAGTACAATTTATCAGTTTAGTTGACAATACAAATGATAGACAGTCAATAATAATGATATATAATTCATATTTTATTTATTTATAAATCAAGCCAGTAGTTCCATACTACTACTACTAATAATAATTTTATTTATTTATAAATCAAGCCAGTAGTTCCATACTACTACTAATAATTATTGCATCTTTACAAATACACAGTATATAGC